CCAATCCACAAAGCACTCTCTGTGTCATTTCTCTGGGACCAGTGATTGGGTCCATCTCTTCTGTTGCACTGCTCCTTATTGTGAAATTTATAGGCACTAAATTGTATTAAATATGTCTACACCCTCTGTCAAGTTCTGCTGAAAATGGTTACTAAATTTAAAAGTCCCTCAGGTTAGAAATACCCTCCGGCCAGCCATCATTGTATGCACTGATGCAGGAAGAAATTAAGGAGAGATTACAGAGGAGCTGCTGGTTGTTGACCACCTGTAAATTTCCTTTGCAGCTCATCAAGTGGCATCTCCCAAGCTTTGAAGAGTGCATGGCATCCAGCCTAGAGAAGGTGGATGCCACTGCCACAGGCAAGCAGGCTAGCATCTGCCTCCCTATGTGTTCCACCCTTGGTGTGCTTTGATGCTCCCAAGTAGCCTCGCTACGTCCTCTTCTTGCCTCAGCAGGGAGCTCTTGCAAGCTAGCCATATGGTGGGTGTTGCATGGAAGATGGAGAAATTAATTTCAGACTGACAGAGCAATTAAAAATGCTCAAGGCTAGGAAGATTCCCAAATGAAGGCACTGAGAATCAATGGAGGTATCACAGGGTTACAAAATCCCATCAAATGACAGACGTAATGTGTAACTATTCTCTGGCCCAGCACATTATTTGCTGAGAGGCTCTCTGTTCCCTTGAGCTCTGAGACTTTCACAAGAAGGGGTTTTTTTCTTCCCTCTTAGTGAGTCTCCAGCACTCCCTATGTGTCTTTTGAGGTTAATCCACAATGACATCCTACATTATACGCTTAAGTTGAAGCCTCCTGACCCTGGACTTTACAGCTTGATATTTTTCCTTGTAGTAAATCTTAGCTATCACTACAGCTTGTCATCTGGTAAAGATACCAGTGCCACTTCTTTGACACCTCCTGACTGAGCCAGTATGGGATGAAGGTCTCTCTTCAGAAAGGAAGGGAAGTAATGAGGCAGCTGTAGTCTTTGGGAGACTGGCTTCACTCCTCTCTCTCTGGGATGGCAGAGCTCTTTTGTAAACTGAACGGTATCTCCCTATGTCCAAACACATGAGGGCAGAGCACTCTGCTACCACAAAAGTGATGCTTATTAAAAGTAAAGTTGCCTTTAAGCCTGGAGACATGCAGGCCTGCACTCCCCAGTTTGGGATGCTATTTTTAAGGCTGAGTGCCTTTACAGCATTTTTTAAGGCTGCCCATTTGGGAAAGTTTCTTCTAGATCCAGAGCTGGCTTTTGCCTCTCAGAACAATATTCAGTCTATACAGCCATGATCAAAAATCATAAGGTAGACCCCTCAACCACAAGATTGGTTTAAAAATTACAATATTATTGTTGGACATGTATAATGACCTTAGAGTCTCTGTATTTGCCTCTATTTTTTGAACTCTAAATTCTCTAATTTTTTTAACTCCAGGTCAAGTTCAGATCAGGGCTAGGAAATGTTAGTTCCTTTTTTTTTAAGTGGAAAATCTGAGGTTTTTCTTCAATACCATGTACTCCAAAGTTCAGGCTTTGAGACAGAGCCTATTCCCCACGAATCATGCTGTCATAAGGGAAGAGAGCAATCCACATGGCAATCCACTTCCTTGACTGTGTGATTCTTTGGGTTGATCTGTGTGACAGAGGCAAACTGCAGGAGCCCATGGTGAAAGCAAAGTCCTAGCTGAAATGTGTTACCTTGCCCAAATTCAAGCTGTCTGTGCACCTGTGTGCAAAAGTGAATGTATGTGCTCACAGGTCTCACTGCACATCTCAGACTCTGCATCATTTAGGGCCTTCACACAAGGGTAGGGTAGTATCCTGGGAGAGCCAGCTTGAATCCCTATCATCACTCTCCTTTCTTGTGGTGAACCTCACCCAAACACACTTAAATCTGTTATTTGTCAAATGGATTAGTTGTTGACATATGGTGCTCAGCTTTGGGGCCCTGGATGGGACTTATATGGCCCCCAATGACTCCCAAGGTGGTGACGGATGAACAGGAGCCCATAGTCCCCAGCCTGGATGTCACCCATGGCCTGAGTGAGACAAGAGCTCTACTGGCAAAGCATGGAGCTTTTGCTGCAAGTTGATCCCTCCTGCTGATATGTAGCTCCTAAGGACCTCCAGCCGTGCGCATCACCTACCCAGCTGACTAGCTCAGGAGTCACCATGTGGAAGGGCTACATCTCTGCCCTGTAACAGTGCAAGACCTTGGTCTTGCTGCTGAGGAGCATGAGGCAGAGGGATACACCCACACATGAATGCACAGGACTAGCTAGCTCTTCTGAAGCTCTCAGGACTTGAAGGGCTCCTGTGTTGTACCTCAGATGAAGACAGGCAAGGTGGAACTGCTAGTAGTGCACCTGAGGGTGATGTGCCCCATACTGCTGCACCTCCTTTTCCCCCTAGTCTTTGTGCTTATTTTAGATGGAAAACAAATGGGAAAAGGCTCAGCTGGGAATCTCTTAATGTAATTTAAATAAATAATCAGTATTTCCAGTCCTTGTCTGCTTGTTAGAGAAGGGATTTCCTAGCCTTAGACAAAGTTTTCTCAGACAAGGCATTACTCCATTACGAACTGAGGCAAAATAAGATCTGGACTGAGATATATGTCTGACGTAAGTCCAAGCCTAGCGTACATGACCTTGTAGTCAGACAAGTCTAGCAACACTTCACCCTTACAAACAATCTAGAAAGAAACTTCCCATTTTTCCTGAATGGGAAGAACAGTTTGAAATGGGGCAAATGTGAACTAAAGCTGTCACAGCCATCTGATTTCCAGAGGGAAGTGAGACAAGGACTGCAATACACATCCCAGATTGTTTTTTAAAGCCAGGACACACTGCTTTGGAGAGCCTGCTGTAAGCACCATAGCTGGAAAACCTGTGCATCCTCTTGGAAGAGCAAGGAGGCAGCAGATTGTGTCCTTGTCCCTCACCTACCCAAACACAGATAGTGCGCACTGGGGCAAATACAGATTGGGGACTCTAACTTGCCCACTCACTAGTGACTTGCTTCAAAGGGAAGGGGCTTCCACAGCACTTGCTAGAAAAGAAAGGTTGAAGGGGAAGAACCACAGAATTGACTTTTTATCTTAATAGGGCAACATGGCCAAAAAATTGCATTTACTGAGCCCTCTGCTTTAACAGTGGCTGAGAATGGATGATGACTAGGAGTACAGTGCTTTTCTCCAGGCTTAGTTTGAAGCCCAAAAAATCAATGCAAAAGAAGAATTGTCAGTGACTGCAACAGGCTTTTAGGTCCAGGTACAGTATGGGATGGTCCATATGGGTACTCCTCTAGGCAGATGAAGTTGGGTAGTGGGGCAAGTTTCACTCAGTCTAACGCTTCACATCTGTCCAAAGAAAGCGTCACACGGAGCATCAGAAGCTGTATACCATGTGTTTTAATAAACTGTATAACCAGCTGAAAAACAGTTTTCGGTGTGTTTGTCCTCCTCCCCCATAAAACAAAAATAAAAAAGGTCAAATTAAAATCAAAATAATGCCAACCCCAAAACAGGAGAAAAAAACTGTCCCAGAGCAAAGATGACACACAATACAGAGTTGGAAAAAAAGGTCTTTGATAACATTCTTGGGTAATGAAATTATGTTCATAAATCACAAGGCAGTGAATAATAAAATGCTTATTGTTTTGATCAGTTTCTCTCTCTCTCTCTCTGTTTATATATATATGTAGATACATATGTATCTATGCTAATATACCCTTTGTGGGATGAAATGGTACATCTGTAGGAAAAAAAAAAAAAGGTTGACTGCGGGGAAGGAGTAAAGAAGAAAATTGTTTCAGTTAGTGAAGTAAGGACAATGCTCAGTTCCCTTACAATGTACCATTGCACTCCTTATCGAGGGACATGCTTGTCTTTCCATGGCTATGCTTTGTCCCGGTCCATGGATGAACTCTGAGCTTGTAATCTGAGTGAACTCCTTCACTGCTCTATGTACGAGCAGGACCCCGGAAATGTATGAAGCGTTCCTTCCCCTGGTTAATTCCCATGCTTTACCATGATTTTTAGTTTAAAATTGATTAGTATTTCAGTTTGCATTTCCCCCCCAGGTTTCTTGCACTGACTGCTATGCAGGTCTCCACAGTAAGGCAGAGCAACCCAGATGAGCAATATGCCACAGGAATGTGCCATTATCATGATTTGACTGGATGGAGGAATTAATTTTACAATAGATCCCATGCTACTTCGACCTCACACTCAGTCTGCGGAGCCAAGTCATGCAGTAACCTCAGCTGTTCTGCATTGGGTGGGCCTGTGGGTCACACCTTAATCCAAAAACAAGGAAAGGAAAGAAAAAATATTTTTTATTTCCTTTTCTCCTTCCGTGGAAACCTACCCCCACGAGAAGAGTAGGCAATACTATTCCGTGCTGAGGTCTCTGCTTCACTCTTAGGCAAATGAGTCCTGCGTTCAAAAAAAAAGAAAATATATTCTTCCTCCTGTCGTTATATTGCTCTTTCAGAGAACCAGCCACTATCTATACTTTCCCAGATCTCAGTGCCGTGCTTAACAAGCAAACAAAGCACAAGCTCATGCTGGCTGCAAAGTTCAGGTCACCAAGAAGGTATTAAGAGAACAGCTCAGTTTGCCAGCTGCTTGTAAACACCATATTGCAAAGAAGGCAAAGGCAAAACAACCCTCTCCACACTTCCCCCAACTTCCTTCCTTTTCTTTTTTTCTTTCTCTCTTTCTTTTTCTTTCTTTCTCTTTTTCACTCTTTCTCTATTTCTTTCCTTCTTTCTTTGTTGTATGGGGGTTCATGAAGAGAAGCAAGACTTGTGCATCACAAATCATGGAACTACCCCCACCCCAGCCAGCTTCCCACCCTACAATAGTGCACAAGCCCATCTTATCCTGTACTTGCCCCCAGAAGGTGTTTCTTGATCTTTTTGGAAAATCATGCAGTCTGATCTGCTGGGGAGTTCTGCAGTGCAGGTGCCGGGTGGCTGGTTCTCCCCCTTTCCTGAGGCTCATAAATGATTATTTTTGGACAGATAGGCAATAAGAGCCACTGCCACCCCAACGTAGATGCCAGTTCCGATTGTGATGGACAGGACAGCCAGGAAGAGTGCTCGCCGGGAGCTGGAGCTTGCATGGTGGAAGTCCCCCTTGGCTACTGCTTTGTTTGTCTGCAAGATATACAACAACAACAATGCAATATATTTATTTGTTTCACCTGGAAATGAAGATGTGATGCTCATTTCTTGGCTGAAACATGATCCTGGGATATAACCGTAAACTGACTGGAAATCAGATACCTTTTTAGTCCAATGAGGTTATTTGTACAGTTAGGATGATGATGGAACCAATGGCATCTCAAGTGGTATGTTGAAGTGCCTTTAAGCTTAAACATACCCTAGGATTTAATACTATACATCACAATGACTCCTGAGATGGCTCATTCTCCCATGAGAATGTGGACAGACAGGCTGTGAATCTAGGGTCTGCCATGTCCTCTCCAGACACAGCTACAAGCATGCTTCTCTGAGGTGTCTGGATTCCAGCCTGGCTGGGGAAGGTAACAAAGGAAAAGCCCTCTAAAAGTGCCACGTGCACAAAAACATTCTTCCAGGTCAAATGAAATTGTCAATCTGTTCTTACCTGGACAAGGACAAGGGGGCTGAACTTTCCCTTCCAGTGCAGTGCTTTTGGAAGCACTAAGTGGAATGACTGGCCCAAGTTCACCACCACAGAGAGGCCAGACACCACCAGTTACCTTGCATCCACATCATGCCTGAGCTTTAGTGCAGGACAAACAGCTAGGAAACCAGAGCTAGTAGACACTCTTTTAGCCTTGATTCAGAGGAACACTTACACACACAAGCAGGGCAGTTCCCTTGATTTTCAGAGGGGTGACACACATACTTAAGTGCTACTCCGTAGTGGGGCCACTGGTGTTGGAGCCATGTTCTTCTCTCTTGGGGGTAGTGCATTCAGCTGGATGTGTCAGCTGGCAGAGGAGTTTCCATTTTGATCATGTTAAAGTGGCTTTCATGTCTCTTGATATGCTTCCCAGTAGCTCAGAAAACTAATCCAAAGCTCTTGTAATTGTATCACATCTTCTATGTAGCTTTGGGTACCCAAGCAGGTTCCTTGAATTCAATCTGATCAGCTGGAGTTCCCAAAGTTATTTATCAGGCATTTTGGCTTGAGCACAAAGAACCTCACAAAGTTACAGCTTGTTAGTACAGCTGTCAATGTCAAGAGAGCAGAATTGCAGCTGACTGGGGATTGTGTCCTGTGATGATCCCACAGTCACATTGTCATCAACAGGATGGCCACTGCGGAAAGCTATATCTTGAGTTTGAGAATTATTCAAACACTGGTTCTTCTAACACACCCTTCCAGACACCTTCGAGCCCAGGACCCAAGACAAAAGCAAAATACCTGCTCAAAACAGGGAAACGAAAGCTAAAATTGGACAGAACTGCTCTGCTCAATGACAAGACCACCTAATGCCGTTTCAGTGGGTCTCAGTCTTGCAGCATGATGAAAGGAGGATGTCATTTTTATAGACCATGGTGTGCTATCAGCAGGGTCACCCAGCTGTCACCTACAAGAAAGGTCTTGTAGAAGCATATGAGCTCCATACGTTCTGAGACAGTCTTTTTTCCCTCATTAAAATGAGGAATTCATAATGCTTTAATTGTATTTCTCCACAAATGCTCAATTTGCTGGCATATTTTCTGCTTTAGTGTCATCTATTTCATCTATTGCTCTGTTTTTGTCTTTTTTTTTTTTTTTTTTTTTTTTACTATCTTGCTACTCAGAGCAATTTATAGCAGCCAAATGACAAGCTTTCATGCTGAAAAAAAGGCTTCTGGCCTTTCTGTCAATGACTTTATTAGGAGAACTGTCTCTTCTCATTCATCAACCTAATTTTTTACGCATAATGCCTTATAAATATTTCTGGCAGAAACAATGCCAAACAATCCATATTAAAAGAGAGAGACTAGGATGGAGGCAGGAGGAAAACAATAATTTCAAAACAGCAACATATAAACAACTCCCAGGTTTACACCTACTGTCATGTCCTCTAGTTTAGATGGGTAAGGCATCCTACTCACTTTGCAAAGATGTCCAGCCAGGCCTTTCAGCAGGGAATTCATGAGCTTCTTGTTTGGGACCTTCAAATACTCAGAAGAAGAGCCCTTTCCGGAAAAATGCCAGGGGCTTTGAGGATTGTGGACATATTTGTTAGGATCACTTAAAAGTCTTGGCAAGGAAAGGACAGAAACCTTTAGAAAGAGTTGGTCATTCAGCTCTCCTCAAAGATTTTCTTCAAGCATCTGCTACCCATCACAACGTTAATAAAAGGCTTGAACAAAGAAGCTTCCATTCACCGAAGTTCGGTTGGATTTGTTGGCAAAGGCAAATGCACAGCACTGAAGATATCTGAGCTTTTGGATAAACTGAGGTAAACAGTTTCAAGCCCCAAAATGGAGGGAAAGTTTGAAAATGCTGGAACATTTCAATTTGACATTTCTGAAATGTCGCATTATGTTGTGGAAAATTCTGCAACATTTTGGGTTGACCTTTTTTAAATGAAACTTTGTAGTTTCAAACCAGTATTTTTTCACTTAAAAATAGATGGAAACTCAAAGGGAAAAGAAGCCATTAACTAAAATGTCAAGTAATCTGAAAACCTGAAAGTATGTCTTGATTGGATTCAATAAAAGAGGTTGGATCTACCCAAAATGATGTCTTGAGCGACCCAAAGGGATTCAGAACGCTGATTTGTCAAGCACTAATAGCCTTTTTTTCTGATAGGATCTTCAACCTAGTGACAAATCTTCTCACAGAGAGCACAGGTTTTTTTTCTTGATGAGCTCTCTGAGGACAGCCCTGACCTTTGTGAAAGGATTTGACCTATGGTGAAAATCCAGCTTCTCGTTAAAATGTTCATCCCAGTCAAAACCAGATGTCTTGTTTTAGTCACGTGCTGCCATAAAGCTGCTCAATTTTGCAGCTCCTGTCATTACGATATAGCTTGATTTTGCTTGGGGAACAGGTGTGTGCTTTCACAGAAGTTCTAGTTTCCAATAAATTACCTAACCCAAGCTTTTTTTTCTTTTCTTTTAACCTCATGCATATTTTTGTGACTTAGCAAAATCAAATTACTCCTCTATTGAATTCTGAATGTATAGTGCATTGGTAAGGGCACATGGGAAGGACAAACTTATATTCCTCCTTTACTCCATTCAGACAGGTTTCCATTGAGATGGAGTAATCAACACAGAAACCATCCTCCATCAGTGTAAGACTAGTCTGAAAGGATTTGCTTATCACTAAGAAAATTCTTTGTTGCTATTCCCTAATTAGCAAAACCATCCCATTACTCCCCAATGTCACTATATGCAAATTACAGCATTTTTGTAGGTTTAAGCTAAACAGATCTGGAAAATAGTTACTACACAAAATGCAATTGAGGCAAATTTTAATATGTTAGCATCTGGCAAATAATTAGCAGTTTTTCTTGTTTTTTTTTTTTTTTTTTAACAGGGATCAGATCTTTGGTATCTCTGTGCTCTTCAAGGAAATACCTTGGCTTTGGTACCCATCCAACAGCCTATGACCCAGCTCATCTGATGCCTGACACAGAGGAGTTACCCCCTGTTTAGGGGCTTCCGTGCCAGGGATGCCTGTGCTTCAGCAAACTCCACGTGAGAAACGAGGACAAGAAATGTCTTGTGTAGATCAGAGAGCCCAGTTAGACCCAGTCTCACCAGCCTTTCCTTGATGTGTTAGAAAAGGTGAAAACAATGGTCATTTGTGGAGTGGCTGAAAGAAAATAGACATATTATGAGCGATCCAGACCGAGGGGCCTCACTGTAACAACAGACTGCAGCTGTTGTTACAGACATAGGCAATGTCAGGGAATTAAGAAACTGCATACCTCACAATGAGATAAGGAAGTTGGACTGCAAAAACAAGAAAACAGAGCAAGGCGGGTGGACACCACACCAGGACCAATCATAAGAAGGCAGAAGGTGAATGGACAAGCAACATTAACCTATTAGCCATCAGGATGTAGCGCATGTGCCTTGTGCTAGTGTATAAATTGCTGTGTATCCCTTAATAAAGTGTCATTAACTTGACCATATTGGTCGTATATGTTGTGTCCGTGACTTTGGTGTCGGTCATTAAACCTAAAAAGAAACCAAGACATCTAAATGCAGACAGTGGTCAAGCTGTTCACTTGTCTTCATAGTGTCTGTATCTTGGGTACTGTTAGCTGAAAGATAAAATTTGTCTACTTAGAACTGGTCACCTAAGCCCACAATCAAACACTACTGACAGACAAGCAGACACAGTGATTCAAGTCTCCAGAGCCAAAATAGCTAGAAGTACAGAGAGCGGTATCTGTTCCGGACCCTTCTTGGTAGTTGCTGCCAGCCACAACACTGAGAACTCAGGCATCAAAACAAACTCAGTCTTCATTTTCGACACAGGTTTTTGGGTCACAATGCCACTGTGGTTAAAATTCCTCAGAAAAATAAAAAAATCCATTTAATCTATTTTTTTAAAAAAATACTGTATTTCAGATAAAAATATTGAGTAAGGAAAACAGTCCACCAAATTTTGGTTAAAAATGGGGTCACATTTATGGTGTGCTAGTCTGCAAACTAAGTCAAGACAGGATGTGTCAGAACGATGCTGCCTCTCCTTTCACTAAACAGCCCTATCCTGGATGCCCACAGTGACTGTGATGGACATGCTCTGTGCAGGCCTGGGTGCCACAGGCGCCCCAGTCTATGCAGAAGCCTTGCCTGAGATGACAAATCCCTGCATCCATCCAGGCATTTCTGCTCAATTAAAGGTGGGGATGGGGTAACATGCACCACCAGGGCCCTTGCCAAGCCCCTGGGGCTGATGTGTCAAATGGTACAAAGGCACTGTTTGTCCAGCCATTCATACCCAGCCTGGAAATGGATTTATGTGAGCTCCTCTTTGCAGACTCAGCTCTGAACTCACTAAAGCAATATTTGCTTTTATTAATTTTGAGTACTTCTGAATACTTCTAAGTATTCAGCCCAGCTACAAATATTACTGGGCTGAATACTTAGCTGGTATTAACTAGCCCATCATGCTCGACCTAGAGGATAATGCAACTAGGATTGGTGCAAGA